TCCGCAAGATAGCCTGAAATAAATACCACAGACTAGTTGAGTGACTGAAAAGCGTGTGAAATTCGGGTACTCTACAGAGACTGTTCATTGTGCCAGGATAGTCCGCAAAGTGGGGTCGATAAGTTTCATTGTTTAGTATGTTGAGTATTCATACATGTGCAGCATTCAAGCGCACTGTACTGGCAAACAGATAGTCTATTTTGTACACGGTATTTGGGATCGTAGTTAGCCCGTGGCATTGTATATTTCAACTTTAAGCCACATTCGATTCTCGATGGAGTGTTCAGTCGAACTGCGACTTCGAACGAGCGGAGCTTTAGAGATTCATCTACACATTCTAATGATCACGTTGGAAGAATGGGGTTTAGGACAGGGGGACACTGAGTGATAATTCCATTCTGGATCACTCCCAGCTAACTACCTTCCGTTCTCTGGAAAGTATCTGCTCATATTTCAACCCAGTGTTTCCTAACCCGAGGTGGAAATACCGCTTGGGTTTGAGCGAAAACTCATTCGGGGGCTCGAGCCTGCTGCCCTTTAGAACCCATACAAAGCATCCTGCAAAAAGGCTGCCTAGGGTTCCATTTGGAACGAAAGAAAGACATCACCTACAAGGGCGATGCAAACGCGTGCGCAGCACATTCAGCTGAGGGATATATTAAACTGGCGATTTGGGTGAATCACCAGTAAACACGTAACTTTTAATTTGCAAATGAGTATCTATCTAGGGATAGTGTTTGCGTACGGCGATGGGAATTCCCCAAAAGGTAAGAGCCAGCATTGGGCTCTCTCGAAGTTTTAATGAACTTCGTACGCGGTGGTATGTCAACAGTACTCCACTGCGAGTTGATCACTTTGTGTTTAGCATGATGACTGATTGATATACCCTAATAATTGGTTGTTCCGGTCATCGAATTCAATGCGTAGCTACTCGGAAGCGGATATTTCTATCCGTTCTACGCACAAACTGAAGGAACACAGATATGAACTGGCACACAAAGTCGAACACAGTCACCATTTTACTGTCTCGGCAAGTTTGCCACATATATTACATGCTGAAGTGTAATTAATCAACCCAGTCGGACTTTATTTAGCATAGGAGACAAGGCTGGTTTCAAAAGATAAAAAGTTTGCAACAATTGGGATAATTAAACAACTTAGCAGCAGATGGTCAGTAGTATAGTAACCGAAAAAGGACATGTATAGCATAGCATAGGAGACAAGGCTGGTTTCAAAAGACAAAAGTTTACAACAATCGGGATAATTAAACAACTAAGCAGTAGGAGGTCAGTAGTATAGTAACCAAAAAAGGAAATGTGGCAAACGCTGGGAAACGTGAGATGAAGCCAATCGAACGAAAAAATGAATGATTGGTGAGTTGAAGATTACTGAATACCATTTACGAAGAAAACGGGATTCCCAACACAGCCATGTTAGTACCAACACAATTTTCAACGGGATGTCTATCACAAGAATCCCTGGAATTTTTTGGGATATTTTTCGAATTTTTGAGAAACTTTCTCACCTAGCCGCAAAAGTGACGTTTTTTGAGTGTTTTTCAAACAGACTGATGGACTGACCGATCGACTAGATTTCGGAAAACATTGATGCGTGAACTGAAATACTCAGATTCGCTCTCTGCAAGAGATGAATGTATGTACCATACGCAAAAAACGAAGTGCACCAGAAAGCAAAATAACGAAGGCACAAGGATGAAGGTTTAGCAAAATGCTGTTTCTACGGATTACCAGTGTGATTTAATGTAACATTACGCTAAGCATATTTTCCATGTGAATTGTATACATATTCTTTTGGCTTATAATTCAAGACTGAAACAGATGAATCTACAATTGCTCTTTCGTGAATGTTTAGTTCCTGTTCATACCACTCTCTTTTGAACAACCTTTCATGTGTCCTGACACAATTATCCAGACGACTCCGCATCAAAATAGGGGAAACACTGGAAGCGAGTTTCGCTCTTATTAGATTTAATCAGTAGTGCATCTTCTTGGCCCTGCCAGGGTTTTATCTTCGGACATCTTGCGTGTTACCGGTACTCCACTCTGAACGCCCCTCGATTATCACGTCTGAACAGGCCAACGTGTTCATGTCAGCGTAGTTAGAATTGGTTCAGCTATAGCACACTTTAGGTGCCTAGCTGTCATGCCACCCGAAGGAAGCACGAGGGCTGAGATACTGACAAGAGCAGTCGAGATGCAGAGGTCAGGTTCGAACCACGAACCTTTTGGTCAGTTAGGTCGCGTCTTAACCATTGAATTTTCTACAGCTCGGCTTGGGATTACGGACGTTATTGGGCCTGTTGTGAAGAATGTGGACATCGAGAACGGTTCAGAACTGACATAATTGATATCTAGTCAAAGGTTGTTCGCGCTACCTACGCGAAAACTGTTAGCTACCACTTTCTTCAATATCTACAGACTGGAATTTGTGTAGGTGTAGGTGTTGCTGACACCTGTGACAAGTTTTCAGTTGCACCGAATCTGTAACTGCAGCAGAAGCACTCAAAATTAATCTGCTTCTAAGTTTCAGTAATCATCGCTATTGTGTTCATGAGATCGATTGATCGATCGATGATTTACCTGACTTCACACTCGATCATGCAATCAAATTCATGGCATGTAGATTCACTGGTGAGAACCCCAAACACCGGCTGTCCACAGTACCCTGTTTTCTCCGATTTTGTTGGGTATTAATAGATACCAGACTGCATAAGACAGTCGGATTAACAACCTTCAGCAGGTTTATTTTAAATGAATATACGTGAGTGCCAGAAAACAGGTTTGTGGCTAAACCCAAAGAAACTACCACCTAAATTTGATAGCAACATGGCGAAACCACTGTGCTACTATCGACGTTCTGTAATCACTTAATATCGAGGCCACATTGAAACTTCCCTAATCAGGGTAAAGTGCTCATCCTATTAAGCGAATGATCGGTGTTGCAGATAATCTGTATACCATTGCGAAATCGGAATGGGGCGAGAAAAACTTATACTGAAGTAGTTTTGTACAATAGAATGAACATACAATGAAGGCTGAAATGCCACGGATACCAACGCCCTGAAGTCGACCGGAAGTTTCGTCAAACTAGGAACCCCGAACTAAGAAAGAGATGAAGTGCTTGCATTGCGAAGAAGAGCAATAACTCATCTTATAATTTATAACGTTTGTCAAGTACTACTTGGCTTCCGCTGAGCTTGATTTTCTACTTGTGGTTATCACAGTACGTGGATCAGGAACTGGAGATGAACAGCCATCAGTCAGGGAAAGTGGACAACGCAAAGGCTACTGATAGAACCAGTTCAACGCAGTGACAAACAGCTGCCAAATTGTGTGGAAGCAGCAGTGTGAAAATTTAGATCTTTCTATATCAAAGTCTATTCCAGCCTGATGCCATACTGCTGGGCGTGAAATGAGCATTCAGACTTACGCCTTTTTTATGGTCACTAACGAAGGGTCAACTCTCAAGAAGGACAGCTTGGTCTTTCAGGAATTTTCCCCGAAAGGGGCAGCATTTTATCTTTGTAAGTACTCCAAACTTTTTAAACTACTTACTCTTCGACAGAGAGCAAGTTGCATGGTCTGAAGATGGAAACCATCTTCTAGGCAGCCGAGGAACGTCCTAATCCACATCAACTGGTCGTGGGTCCTCCATCTCCTCCTCCTCCTCATCATCATCATCATCATCATCATCATTCAGAAAGAGCAGCATCACTGCCGCATCACTGTCATATAATTACGGAGTTCATTCAATAGTATTCAGAGACTTAAAACGAAAATGGAGAAAGGGGCGGTTGAGGGAGGGCCATGACCCTGGCCTGTCACAAGCTTTCTGAGGAGCTTTCATCGCAAAACACACAGTCGGACAACCTGGAAAGAAGGTGGCTGCACGAGCGCCATCGATATATATATATATGGGAACCCACTCCAGAAGGCAAATCGAACCAAAAACTTCTAAACTATTTGTAATCCCTTTCTGTCAAAACGTACGTGGCCCACCAAGCCAGTTTGCGTCATTCTGAAGATGGTACGGAGAACAACACTAGGCTCGGTAGGGAGGCGTTTCGGCATACGTAGCTTATGGGTGAGCCACCGCAGTTGATGGTTCTGCATTTTTTTACGACTGAAGTATCTGCAGCATAACCTAATTGCCTAATTAATCTAATTACCTTGTACGAATTTGTTGACGCCGTCCGACTCCTGGGTAAATGGTGGTAAGAAAACTGAAGATGCCTCACATTATCTGTCCGCAGAGGCCATGTGTATCAATCACACAACAATACAGCCCTTACTGTAATCTGGTACACGTGACCCTTGAGGTCCATTGATGTATCCTTTTGACGTCACAAGTAACGCAAATTCACGGACGTCATTCAGGCCTTATATATTCGTACAGAGACTTTATCGGACGCAATTACGTTGTAGGTGATACAAGTACCGAAGTATGTAAAATACCTCAGATACCCCAGTGCTTCCCCTTGATTTTTAAGGGGTGGGTTCGAGTACTACACATCCTGAAGCGTGGATTTGCATTTTGACGGTGCAATGCGCATGCGGAAAGATGATGTCACGGTAATCGGTTTATTCAACAGAGCTTGTAGTTCACTCTCGTCTTCAAAGATGACGACGATATAGGATGCTTACTCTAGATTAGTAAAGTTCTTACCAGAAACGATTTAAAGACATTCCAGCATTCGCCTCATAATTTCGTCGACGACGAAGCCGAACAAAAAAGCGGAGGGAGTGGACATACTGGCCGGACACCACTTCTTGGAGAAAAGCTTTCAAAGAGCTCACTATTCACGTTCATACTCCCAGAAGTACGTGAATGTAAGGACCTGATTCTGTTCACGAAATTCTGGAGCGAACTCCGTTCGGCCAGTGTATTTAGGAGCACCGACCGGTTGTCAGAATAAGTTAAAGCCTTGAAGTCAAGTAACACCGAGATTATGGATTGTCTGTACATGTGGCGTTACTCTAACATCTAACGGTTTGTGAAGATATGATTGATGCGGTCTCTTCCCGGCCGAAGTCTGGCTTGAGGAACGGGCCTGTTCTAACCATCCAACCTAGAGGAGCGGCATACAGTGTTCTTCAGTGACCAGTTCTGTTCAGTGACAAGCATGGTATGAGAAAGTCTGAGTGTGTCAAAGTGGAATGTTCCAGGATATCCCGGTGGATCATAGAGCGACGCAAACCGTCGCCCCGCGATAGGTTTCAGCATCTCTGCAAGTGATGGGGATGGAAAGGGTGGGAACATCCTACTACAAACCTCAAAAGGGATTCAAATGGACTTGAACGATACTTATAGCTTATTTAGTCAATCGCTTAAGGAACTTGTTTCGTGCATCCTTAGGACAGTATTCTTATCTTGGCCGTGGTGATCGAGAGAGTGATGGTGTCCGCTGTCTGTGTGAATCACCTAAAGCTAGGGCAACGGGGCAACATAGCCAGACGACTTGTTCGGAAGTTGGCCACTACCACAGTGACAACTTGACCCGAGAGTGACTACTGCATGTAGCTGTTGTCTGCTTAAAGATAATGTGATGACAGCGTTGAAGCCATCCATGGAATTAAATGAAATTCTGTCACTGAGCTTGTCTAGTTGTTTCCATCCCTTTTTCACCGGAAATCGCCATACCCCGATGATATGGGGAACTCTCATTCTCTTGGAATGCGTCTTTTGAATGAATGTGAACTCATTTAGGACGATCGTTTGCCATTGGGGCTGAGAGTGATCTGAACCGGTTAGTAACATGTGTGTGTGTGTGTACGCGTGCGCACACACCCAGATGCGCAGCGCAGTACGATGCAAACACACGGTCACGCGTGGACACACTTCGCGAATGCAGGCAGACATGCGTACTACCAACCACGACCGAACACACGCGTAGGCGACCTGATTCAGGTCATACAAAAACGAACCAATTGTGTTTGAGGTTAGTAGAGGCCTAAAGCCCTATTTACCACTTATAAATAGTCAGGACTTGGTGATGCGTGCCATACGAGTGCGGAGGACGCCAACGGGGGTTAGTGATATCTCTCCTTGCCTATGGCGCGACGCCGTTGTGACAGTGACCCGCGCCCCGTCGCGTCTGCAGTGTCTGAAGAGAATGTCTGTTCGGTCTCGTGTATGTCCGGTAGGTTCGGCCGCATTGAGCTCCGCTTATGCCTGAACCTGCCGTAGAACACCACCGGGTAGACATTCATCCGCAGATCACTGTTTTGAACCTCTCGCCACCAGACCGATCTTTCGCAGGTATTTTTTCCATCATATTGCACACTCCATTGGCATTTCGAAGAACTGGCATGTTTGTCTTGTTCAAGCACCCAGCCATATTAGAGCCGATTTAGTTCGCGAGAAATTTCCATACTATCATGATTTTGTCCATACTTGTTGATTATATTTTTTATTATTAACTGCCATGTAGCCTCTTAAAATTTTTTGTGTACACACCTTAATTTTTTCTCGGGTTAAAACGAATTCAAAAAAATTACTCCACCAAGTCGATGGAAATATGTGTGTTTCCATCCAGGATGTTTGTACCGGACCTCAGTTACGGTCTGTAGCAGAACCAATGGATTTTGTCAGTGGCATCACAGTTGTATTACCGTACTCTAAGTACCGAACTTTTTAAAAAAATATTTTGCCTTCGAGGTGAGTTCTTTGCAAAAGACGCACAAAAAATGAGCGATGTTTTGTACACTCTAAAATTCCGTTTAATAGTTCTTGACATAGTGAACGATAAAGACCACCAGAGCACTATCCAGGAACATTAATATCAGTAGCTGACTTTGTGTACGCTAGTTGTTTGGTTCATAAATGCTGGTAAGTATACGTATTTGGGTTAGATCCGTTTTGCTTCAATGTACTGCAATGGCACCGAATTAAGATGGGGAACACTCAAATATTTCCAGGCAGTTCTTAGCCATTAAGCTCAGAAACAGATACGTCCTGCAGCTGGCATGCGCTCTAGGCACCAGGTCTGACCACTCCTTACTAGGATGCGAACCTAGTCCGCATCCTAATTCCACACAACAAACAGAACTTGTCTGATGGCCGAAATGCTAGTTCGATCCCTCAAGTAAAAAATACCAATAGGAATCTGCTGACGGGATACAGCTATGGGTTACCGTTTGTCTCCAAATCGGGCCAACGTTTGCGCGGAGCTGCTACCAGAGTGGCATCGTCATAATCACCTTGGTATTGTTCCTCGCATCGCTCGCATGGTGATGCAATGGTTGTGATGTCCTCAAACCCGGTCAGTGCTATATTCCACTCCACACAAGAACTGTTACCATGTAGCTGACCAGCGGGGCTAAGTGCGCGTGTGTGAGTGAGTGCGTGGGCACACGCACGCAAGCAGGCAAACAAGATAGCAGGTAAGTTACCTGACAGCTTGCAATCATTTCGCCAACTCGGTTGTCCCCAATCCAGGTTGGTTGGTTCGAACGCCTCTGACTATTCAGCGTTGACATTGCCGCGGCTCTCAGTGATAGTGTGATCAATGCTGAGAGATTTGTTTGGAAGCTAATCGGCGGAAATTGGGAGAAAGTGTATGGATATGGGGAAGGGAAGTATGCGGAAGACAGGTCGTCGAGTGATGTTGGTTGTCGCAATCTAGTGCAAACAACTTGGAGTGCGGGACGTTTGGGACCAATGTTGGGTGGTTTTAGCCTTGACTGAGCTACGAATTAGGCCCAATCGGATTGGAGCCGGCCTGGTTTGTTGTTCGAGTTCCAAAATAACCTAAGAGTTTTATTCCTTGTTCTGTGGGATGATTTACATGGACATGAAGGAGTCGTTTGCTGCAGAACGGATCAGCAGTGATCATGAGATCTTGAAGGCATCTTTACTGAAGATATGGAATATGCAGTCTCAAAAACCCAGCTTTTTTTCAATTCTGCATGAGTCAGAATATTAATCTTCAGTGTATCCAGTGTCACTTTTTCTAACACGTTTACAGCGAAACAAGTAGTATAGAGAAGCTGCTTTCAAGGTGAACATGTTAGCCATATCTCTTAGCACAAGGAACCATTACGCGAGAAGGTAAGTGAATCAAGGATAGCTTGAGTTCAGGTTGTTGCTTGGATAACCCCGAAGAAACCGAAATGCCGAAAAAAATTCGCTGGTGTCAATTTTCGAAAAGTATCACCACTCTATGAAGGGGTTTTCGAGCGTTTGAAGATCATTTTATTCATTTGAAAATCATTCACTTTGACCTTTCTAAAAAGTGAAGCTATTATCGCCCTCATGTAGTTGACCTGGTGGTTGATCTGAGAACTCGTTCAACCATTTGCTTGCTAACAATTTCTGACAGCTGTCGGGTGGGTCACGCCAAACAGCTCACTGGCGATGTGTCGGTGAATGGTGACGAAACGTTTGAAAGCTAATCATCATGCACGACGAACAGATCAGCAGCCAGCTGGTAAAATACCAAGGAATGCAAGTGAACTAAAACCATTCCAACTTTCCAATAGATAATGTAATCCGACAAGATTTACCGTGCTTTCTCGAGGGTTTTCTTCTTCGGTAGTCTCCGAGTGTGTGCTACGGACCGATACTTGTTTGTCTGTGTAATCTACCCTTCGAATCGAAAGTTGTGAGGTGTCTCACATATCAGTCAGAAAGTAACGCTGACATTTTCGCGGCTACTCTGGATGGGCTTCGTAGTGTTTTGCACCAGTGTATTCTTTTTGTAGCAGACTAGAGAAGAAGACAGGTCGGGTACCGCCTCGTCAATAAATGATCTCTCTCTTCTTGCCAGCGAGTAAGCTACCTATTGACGAGCCCTGTTATTGATCTCGTGTTCAACAAACCTATCGGCAAGACAGTTCTCACGAATTCACAGTGACGTTTCAATATCAAAAATATTTCAAAGGACAAACAACTGACCTTTTGTGAATAAGTAGAATGATGGAATTCATACATATACAAAATCCACTTTTGTCGACGAAGAACTCAACTGGACCTCTGGTCGGATCATACGTAATTGTGTATAGCAGTAATATAATACAATATTATAATATCAAAATACTATGTATTGGTAGCCATACATGTGTACTGTATGTTACTGTGACATAATATATAATTTATTGTCCATAGTGTATATGCTGTTCTTCAACTAAATGTTCTGTACAAAGGCCACCTCATGTTTCAGATGGCATGGTATTCGAGGCATCGCAGAACATATAATTGACAGTATACTACTCATAAGACTGTTAAAAACTCTCCAGCAGTCTACTACTGGTTCCCCACTCGCACTAATTTACAAATGAGTGCATTCCTCTAGTTCGTACAGAATTTGCTGCTCAACTGATTGAAACTCGGAACAATGCCTACCTGATGGGTCTCAAGAAGAGTGAAACCCGCAGTGGTAGGTCGAAGTCTTCGGCGTGTCAGGAAAGGAGAATAACAGTCTATCTATCACTGTCGATGAGTGAGGTATTGAGATCTTCCGTCATTCTAAGCTGGGTCACCGTTGAAATCCTTCTGTGTTCAACAGCTCATTTTTTCAACGAGAAGCGATTTATGTTATATTACCAAGTGCCCGCAACTGGATCAGGCCAGCGGCCCGTTGTTTGGTCTTCACTTGAAATCTAACTGTCCTAAAGTCTTGCTGTCCTAAGTTTCTGCTGCTGAGTGTACACAGAATTGTGATGCTTTTTTAACCGAATCACATTTTCCCTGTCCGACCAGGGTTATGTTTCGGAGAACCATGAGACACCTAGCAGGACCGGAATACTTTCGGAAAGTCTTTTTCGCTACTCTATTACAGCGACCAAATCATTTCCAAAAACAGGCAATTTTCTCACTGTTTGACATGACAATCAATGGCTACTCTGTTGAGCAACATTGGCACCGAATAACGAGCTTCAATTTTGAACATGCCACGACGGGTGTGACTACAAGGATTTTGTATATCATTTTCGTGTAAATCGGGTTTGATTGTAACTGCTTAGGTTGTTTTGGCAAATGCTAGAATCGAGTAGAGACAGAAATGGGCTGAACCACTCAAACCTCACTCATCTTGTAAGCTGCAGTCGAAATTTCTACGAGGAAACTGGACGATGGAGATGGAAAGCAAATCGTTTGGCCCAGTCGAAACGGAGAAATTTCGTGGGGGAAAGCCCAACCAACTACAATACATAAAACTCTTGAGAAGCAGTACGACAATTAATGACAATAAAAGATGGGTTATAGTATGATTCAAGTGTAAGCTAATCATACTGCTTATCGGATGCTCACAACCGAACTTCACGGTGTTCAATCGCCAACCCGAAGGTAGGGATCGTATGTACGAATCCTTCTAGAAGTTCTGCGGTTAAACGCTTCGTCGGAACATAATCAGCGCGTCTTTAGGGGACATATTTTTCCAGTTCTATTCGCGTTTATGTGGTTGCCGAAGAGTAGTTAGTAACTGAAACCTGATTAGTTGTCTGGAGATTGGCTAGCACGTAGTTTCATTGGCCCTTCCCAACTGTCCTTTCGTGTGGTGACAAAGTGTTTGCAAGCCAACTTCCAAGCTCGTCGAACAGGTCAATTACCACGTGATCAATAGCCAATAAACTAACGCTAGCTACTAGCAGTTTAACATGCTGCCAAATCTGAGGATCCGTGTAATACCTATTACTGATGAGTTGGAACATGAATGAAACAACCTTGTAGTGCTTTCCGGATGCGCTTGGCCTTCATTTTGTGATCGAATTACTATGGAAAACAATGGGACTACGGGTGTTTTTTAAGTTTGGTCGAGGAAAATTTGTACAGTTGGTTCATGATTGTGCGTGTTATGAACTCACTTGTCGCGGTTACATCTCAGACTAAGTACCATGCTTTGCAGAATGCTATTGTTACGGTTAAAAAACGTTGATATCAGCAGCAAAGTACTGTACTACTTCTTTCTGTAACGGAGCTGAGTGTCACAAGCTTATTAGATAGTTCGGTTATGGAAGTTTTCCACCTCTTGCAGTTAGTTGAAGCGCTGAATGAACCACACACTAATTCCAGTACCATCTTCTCGTAAAGAATAACGTGGATGACCAGGGAAGTTTGCGTCAATGACGGAACAAGTGGGTGTTGCCCACAGCACTCTCGAATAGGACTGGCAAAGGGAGAGCATTGTCCTACGACGTTGCAAGAGGACCATGAAATCAGGTAGTAGTCTGAGGGAACGCACCGCAAACCGAATGACCCTGGCCTTAGGAACACTGCAGATCTACCATGTTGGTAGCGATCATACTACCTATAAAGCTGCTGAAAGTCAATCGCCCTGTTTCTGAATGACTTAAGTCTGCCTCTGTATAGTCTCCGACGAGTATCTGCAGGCATAATCTCTGCTATCTATCCAGAGCGCTACCCATAAACCTGACACTTGAAAATGAAGCAAACGGACCGCAAAAGACACTACGGTATTAGGTAACTTTGAGAACCGCATGTGGGACGGTCAGTATTACCACACTGACACCAAGATTGGAATGTATCGGGCTGCTTGGTTGCCTCCACTATTGTGCGACACAGAGAGCTGTACGCTACAAAGATGAAATGATCGGGTTCTTGATCGAGCTCAGTTGTTTTGTCTGCGCAAAATCATTCGAACCAAAAGGATTGATAAAATTCCCAACACCGCAGTCTTTTAAAGAGCAAAATCAGTTGAATTTGAATGCATTCCGATGCGAAATCGGATCCACTTGTAGGGGCACTTGGAAAGAAATGCCGTAACTCGCATCCCAAAACAGCTCGTCAGCTGAAAAAGTGAGTCCGAAATCGGGGGCGCCCTCTATTCGGACAGCCTCCAAATAAGTTACGAAGGCCGAAACTTCTATTGTATGTCATGGGAAGACCTGGCATTCGACAAAACGGTATGAAGAACTGTTACCAAAGCGGGCGTGAGAAACTTTGAGAAGCAATGCTTTAAAGCGGTGGAAAACAAACCAGGCATTGGGAATGGGCTGCACCTTCCCAACTCAGCCTAATCTAAGTGGATTTGGGAAACACTTGGACCCACATGCCTTCATGATATTGGCATTGTAGGAGACAAGTTTACTCACCAATCCACTTGATAAAACATAACCTTCTGGAACTCAGGTAGGTTTGTAACATCCTCCAACAACCACCCACCCGACGGCGTCACCCCGAGGATGACCGAATAATTAACCGCAGGGTTTATGGAATACCGCCGAATCATCCATCACTATCTCACTCCACTGTCAAGTACGACCAGGAAATAATCAATCACAAACGAAAGACGATGACACCATTCGTTTTCATCGTTACATTAAACTTCCAATATGATGGATTTCCCGTATAGGGAAATCGTCGTCTGAACACGTCAGTTAATTTGGGATGCTGAAAAGTTCACAGAGAAAGGTCAGATCGGAGGTAAATAAACTTCAAAAACTAGCAGGTTGGCTTTGCGTAATCTTGTCTATCCCAGTTTTGAAGAGTGGAATTTTACAAAGGGAAGTGAGTTTTTGTAAAGGTTATTTAAAGTTCAAGGGCTGAAATCATGCGTCCAGCGTTGGGCTTGGTGACTTTGTAAGGGGTCGGAAGAAATTAAACCTGTGGTGCAAGCGGATCTTTCCGAGATGTTATACCTTCGGGGTGTCACAGCCCGACA